TCCCCAAGCTGAAGGCTTCTAATAGGTCCTGGAGGTTCTTTGACATTCAGAGAACTTTTGAATACATTCTGCCAACTCTGTACATTTCCAGAACGTCTTGAGTTCTTAAAGAAGTATTTTTAGTAGAGCCTGTAATACCAGAATGCAAGTGATGTTGGAAAAGGGGGGAGTCTGTCAAAGGATGGTCTCCAAGTCTCCTTTGAAATGACATGAATTTGAGGCCACTCGTGTTTAAGCAACTTATTAAATGCATTCATTTACTGCCCTTATTTTGGGATTATCACTAATATGGAAATGGCTTTATTCTTTCAAAATAGTAGAAGAACATTTGACCAGGTAATTACCCATCATGCTGAATAGAGAGCTTTCAGAGCAGGAGGAGAGTGGTTTGAAGAAAAAGTTAGAGCTGTAGTTAAGCAGTTGATTCAGCAAGCTGTGCCTCGTCCTGAGAGCTTATTAAAGGTAATGCAGTGCCTATGGAATTAGATACATTATAAAAACATCTGTGCCTTGGGATCTTCAGAGGATTACTTTTGTGGAAAATATGATGATCTTTCTCGTAATAGCTTAAATTTGCAGAAGGATCTGTCAGCCTATAGATTTTATATGTATTTATATATATATATATGTATGTATGTATGTATATATATATATATGTAATTTTTTTTGCCACTGGCAGGAAGAGGATGCAGCTGATGCAAATGCAGTGTGAGTTATCTGGTGATGTATAAAGCAGCCTGTGTTGTTTACCTGCAGACAGCCCAAATAGTGGGAAGCATTTTGTAGTAAGTTGAGAAAACTGTGTTTCATTTTCATGCAATTTCTTAATTTTTGGTACTGCAGAGTAACAAGTGCCTTACTGAAGTAATGCTCAAAAGATGATGCAAATATTCCTCATTATAGCAGCTCCACATCTTTGTGTGTCACTTGCACATGTTGATGGATTGAATGCTAACCCTGTTTTCTGCAAGCGATCTCCCATTCTCCCAGTCCTGAGCCCTCTTGGTTCGACCAGAGCGAAGCAAGTGATGGACTTCTGTTGCTCAGCTTCAGGGCTAGCTGGAGATGCCTGCTTTCCCTTTCTGAAGTTTTGTGCTGACTGTGTGTAGAACTTCTATTTGACCCTTCAAACACGTTTCCAGCCCACTGGAGGCACACTTTGATTTGAAGCAGTGCTTATTCAAAAAGAAAATTCTAGTAGCAAACACATGAAGAGTTCTGCATGGGAAAAGGCTTTTAGATCAATGTTAGTCTCTTGAGAATCTCTGACTTTTTGCACTAACAGTGGTGCCAATACTGTGATTTTTATTAAGAAAAACCTAATGTCTGCTTCCTTTTTCTCCTCAGCTACCCTCTGTATCCAGATAACAAAGAAAACGTTCAGTATCTTAACAGTTGAAAACAAACATTTTATCATGAAAATGAATCTCATGCAAATGAGGTGAAAAATGCTGAAGTTTGGGAGAAGTGCTTTTTTGGTATTTAATGCCAGATTGAGGAGGGTTACAAGAGATTTGTGGAAATTGTGTCCCTTGAAATACCTTTTGTTCAGTTGTTACATAAATGTATGGGTAACAAGATAACGTGTTTAAAGATGCACAAGAATATGCACTGCAGCTGTAACCAACAGTTATTAAATTAGTTAATAGTTGTTAAACTAGCTAATAAAACCTAAGTTTATTCTATCAGCTGCTACTTGGGTCATGATGGCTTCCTTATCCTTTTCTGTATTGCCTTTGATCATCCTCTTTTATTTTTAAGTGTTCCAAAGCTTTCCCAAGCACTTTTGATGGCCAGATTATTTCTGTGTTCCCTTTTTAAGCTATTACCGAGGTACAATCCATCCACGATCTGAACCAAAGCCAAAATGTTGCAGGAATAATCTATATAAAGAAATGTAGTAACAGGTGCTTGTAGCAGGATGAGTTACGGAGCTGTAGATCAGGATATGTAACTCCTTGTGTTGTTGTGTGTGCCAGGAGACCCTTCCTCATCACAGGTATTTGCTGCTTCACCATCAAGTGCTACTGAATGCTGCAAAAACAAAGTGCATTCCCAAATTACAGTGCAGCAGTGTGAGTGCTGCAAGTTAGCTTCTTGGCTTCTTTAAGATGCTGGAAATTACAGTGAACTTGCCTCAGGGTAAAACACATTAAACAAATCTTTGGTCTCGTTTCATGACATGGGAAACCCCTAATGCAATTTTTGGCATCGAATAAAACAAAACAGCAAATGGAAAGGGGCAAAGCTTTTCCTTCATGGACACAGGATGAGAGGATTTAGCATAGGAGCACAACATAATGGCAAGAGATGTTAAGAAAACCTTTTCCTCCATTCCTAAACTTCAAGAGTGCTTCAAAAGCTGCCTCGAAAAGAGAACGGTGACAGAGATGAATGGTAAATCTAAATACTGAGCTCAGAAGTTCTGTGGGTCATAGCTTACAGGTGTCTTCAAGTTGCAGGAAGGAAAACAAGGAAAAAGCTATCAAAGTAAACATTCTTCAGTGCATGGGAAGATGACAGATTCTTTCTAACAAGATTTTCTGCTCTTCTGGAGGAAGAGCGTTTGTTAATAAACCATTTGAGAATCCATTTTTAGGGGATTTAATAAAATATACGCAGATTGCCTTCCACTGCAGAAGCTATTATTCCCTTGGGTTGAAAAAGTGACTGACTGTGGGCATTAATGGTTGCTCCTTGTGATTCCTGGCATTATATCTTGCTCCCATTTACACTTTTCCAATCTGAAGTGAAATAATTTTTTATGAGAACCTTGCCTTTGATTCATAGCTCTTACGAGCCATGTATGTGTTTCATATTTTATTTATTTGTACGCAGTCATGTCCGTAATTCTGGTTGTTTTAGTGCCTGTGGCAATAGCCCGGGTATTGTATATGCTTGTGCATAGTTTTCTGTGCACAGGAAAGTTTTCATATCCTGGAAGTGCCATTAAATAGAAGAGGTAATAACTTCCATCAAAAACTGTAGATGATGATGCTGTTGATTAAAACTTGAACCTCATATGGTCTAATAGATGTGTGCCTAGAGGGGCCAACACAAAGGAGAAAAGAGATTTTCTTAAGAATTTGGAGGGAGGTTTTCTAGTGCCATCTTTTTGGTGATGCATGGAAGTTATGCTGCTTTCAAGTATGGGAGAAATCCGGTGGAGCTGAGGGGTGTTAAGTCCTTCTGGTAAGGAATCTTGTCCTTTCTGAGGCTTTGATTCATTCAAATTAGGAAATGATTTTTCTACTAAGGATGCTTTATACGGCTGTGTTTGCGAAAAATACCCAGTGATTTCAGTAGCTGAGGTGATAGGAGCAGGGGAAGGCTGGGGCAAATGATCCCCAGAACACGAGTAGCTTTAAGGATGTAAAGTTCAAGTTCAGTTATACCCCAGTGCATCCTGTCTGTGGTATCTCCCCAGCTTCCTTTTGTCAGGCATGGCAGAGAGAAGGCAGAAGTGGATTTAGCACAGCCCATCGAGTAGGTGCCTGGGCAGATATTAGCTTTGCAGAAGGAAGAATGAAATCTGAAAAGCTGATAATGTTACAGTCAGTGGCAGCTCTAATACACCTTAAGTGGATGTCCTTAGGTGCATCATTTGTTCGGTTCTCTTCTTTACCAGAATTATCTTCACATCATGTCCAAGAACTGAGGACTTAGTGGCAGGCTGTGGATGGCCAGATGCACTTCGTTGCTTGCTCATAATATAACCCTTTCTACAAAAAGAGATTACAGATAGGATGCTGCCAGGAAATGACCGAGCTGGCAGAGAAGTGGATGAACACAGGGCCAGGCACTTTTAGAAGAGATGCTTTCTTTTGCAGTGACATTGGTACACACAGGAAGTGTTAGTACTATTCATCATTTGGTCTTTCTGTGCTTGTTTGAGAACAGTGTCCCAACACCAGTGTGTAATCAGTATTCCTGAATAGGAGCTTGAACAAAGCTAGTCATCGTACCGAAGGCAGTGTACTATTTGTCCCCTCTGATCTGGATGTACCTCAAAAGGGATCAACTCTAGTACTTAACAGCAGAGAATAAATTCAGATCTTGTGTTAAGAACGTGAAATATGTTCTTAACATATTCTTCTTGTATTAAGAAATGAATTTTGCAAGCATACAGGATCCTTTGTTGTTTTTTTTTTTTTTCTGGAGTGCATCAAAGAGGCGAGTGGGGTAGGGACCGAGAGATGCTGCGGCTCTTGAGCACTGGGCTGGGACCGGTGCTGGATCCAGTTGGAGCACTTTATACAGCCTGGAGCAAAATAGTGAGCAAGTCTTCAATGAGTGGAGCTGAGGGAAGTATGAATTAGGAGTGTAACCCATATTATGGAATTTGTTAGTCTAAAATCTTCTGTACCTGCAGAGTGTAGCAGCTCTACTGCCCAGCAGTTAGTGATGGCACACTGAACGCTATGATGAGTGAGATCGAGTATTTACCTTCTGTCCACTGAACCGGATCAGCTCAGCTTGTGCTCGAATGTATTGGTTGCATTTCTTTGGTCTGAGGGAAGTGCTGTGCACTGTCAAACAAATGTATTAGGTGAAGGAATGACTTCTGCTCCCTAACTTCATAATATTCCATCTAGAAACTGATGGGAAAGAGACATGACAGCAGGTAATTGCAAAATTGACCTCTGCCCACCTGAATTCAGTTTCTGTGATACTTCTAGACTTAGCTTTATGTAATGCAATACATATTTTTATTATGCTCACAGTATATATAGAACAAGCTTACAAGATTTGACTGCGTGCTGATTTGGAGTAAAATAGTGCAGCTCAGAATCTGGTAGCTATAACAGAACTGATAGGCCTTGAAGCAGAGGAGGCTGTTGATAAATACTGACTTCAATACCGGTATTGCATAACTGTGGAACTTGTTTTCATAAATGCAAAAACTGAATAATGCAGTTGCACTACAGTAAGTGTCTGTATTGGAACAGTTTGAGGAAGTGACAATTTCTTTCAGCTCTTCTGGATTTTTCTCTTTTCAGCTGTTGGACAAATTGAAAGATCGCTGGATGCACACTGGCTTGTGGAGAAACCTGGAGCTTGTTAAGACAGTCATTGCAGAGCCTCAAGGAGGAGCAAAAAGTGACTTCGATGAACTGCTGAAAATATACTACGATGCAATAAAATTTAAAGGAGGAAAAGGTACTTTCTGCAGACAATAGTTACACTGTCCTTTCAAGTTAAAAAAGAAATAAATTATTCTTAACAATTATAAGATATGGTTAAATACTTAAGTTAACTTTATCTTAAGAAATTATTGTTATAAATGAGGAAGATTAAGAGCTGTTTTCATTGTTGCATGCGGAGAAAGGGACGCACAGAATGATGCACAATCCTGATAGTGGTGTCCAAGAGGCAGTGAACTGTGTAGGAATGTGGGTTTGTGTGTCCAGCAGGGTGCAGACTGGCCTCTCAAAGAATCACTTTTACCATACATTGCAGCTCCTGTAGGATTTCTTTTCATAATACCTGAATGTTAGGGTAAAGAATAAAGCATGATAGCATGTCAACAGTAACATAGTTTTTGGAATACAGAACTGAAAGTTTTCAATTTGAAACACTGTGCATATAGTTCATGCATAATTAAGTACCACTGTCTTATATCATGGAAATTATTTTACTACTCGTGTTAAAGATCACAATTTTATCAATGAAAATACAGTTGATCTCATCTTTCTAACAAAAAACACTTCTAAATTTAAATCCCCTCACCTTTTCCAGACAGATGCACAATGTATTATGCTATATTATGTTGAGCTTTTAAAAGATATTGCTGAAACTTTCTTTTGATGTTTACTTTACCTCTGGGAATGATGCATGTCCCTCTTTGGCTTCTTCAAGATGGAGCACTCCTAATAGCTGTGTGCAGAGGAAAAGTTAGTGAAGGCTTGGATTTCTGTGATGAGAATGCTCGAGCAGTTATAACCATAGGTATTCCGTTCCCAAATGTGAAAGACCTTCAGGTAGGACATGGATGTCTAATTGAAAGAGTTGTATGTTGTTCTTTGTATCCTGTTTGAAATATGACATATGCACAACATTTGTTGGAAAAGTTTACCCTTGGACTCCAGTCTTATTTGAACCCTTTATTGCTTTCTACACAGTTAAAAGGAGGAACAGCTCAGCATGTTTTGTTGACCCATTTCTATAATTCTAAATACACGTATATCACACAAGGGAAAAATACTGTAGATTCCTTTGACGCTGCTAGTGAAGGCTTTTATATTGTTAAAGTGCTCTTTTCTGCCTAAAAGTGGTATTCTGATGCATCTCCAATTAAAGAAATTGGAGACTATTTGTATTATTCAGCAGGTGGCCAAAGAAACATCCTGTTGCTTTTCCATTGCTGTGTAATTGCCCACATCAACACTTCCTTTCTTTTGACTTCAGCAGAGCTTGTGGTGTAGTTAGATAATGTTCCATGAGAGCAGGCAGTTTCTAGCTGAGACCAGGCATTTATTAAGGAAAAGAAAGCCAATGAATATGGAAAAGTATTTTTCTAGGCTTTCTTTCTGCTTAATGAAAGGAATATGTATTATTAACTCATCTGGAAGATCACTAAAAATAAGCTAAGTGCATGATGCTTCACGGCTGGCACTTTTCTTCTCAGTATGATGGCCACTGTGTCTGTCCTTCTTTTTGTGTGCATTTTAGAGCATTTTTAGACTTCTTTGTGAAACTAAGAAAAAAGTATTACAGAATAAATATCAGAAACAGCTGGATTCTTGTTATTAATAATGCCAAATCAAACAAGAAAACCATGGGTCTGCACTTGAAAGCTCAAGCTGCCTCAGCTTTGGTTTTAGAGATGTGTTCTGAGCTTAAGTGAACAGCCAAAGACTTCTTTGTTGTCTGCAGCATGTGCCTAGTTAAAGCCTTGGTAGGAAAAACCCACATCCTATGAGGACTAGTAGGGTTGTGTTAGCAGTGGCTGCCTGGTGTGGTGTTCTCTCCATGTTTGCATAACTTTCTTGAGGCGCTTATTCAGCCATAACATTTTTCTTCTACTAGAACATAATACCCTGTCCTTTAGTATAAAGGCATGTACATTCAAAGAAAATTCATCACAGTTTCTAGAGTTAGAAATGCTTTGTTTTAGAAGTGTTCTCTGAAATGATAGTTTGGAAACACTTGGTCTGTAGTAGAGCTGGAACTGTTACATTTTGCTTTAAACGATTTCCAGAATGTCAATATTTTTGTATTCTAAACTGTACAAAATTGAATTGAAAAGTATGGGTCCATGGTGAATTATGCTCACAGTGGATTATCTTCTTTAAGGTTAAAAATACTGCTTTTGATTTTCTTTTGGATATGACCAAATATGTAGTATAGTAGAAATTTGGGCAGTGCACCTCATTACTGATAACAGTTCCAAAATACGAATGTTAGGTTTATCTATTTTTTTTTTTTTTTTTTTTAAATCAGACTGAAGAAAACCTCTGAATTGTTAAGTAAGGATAGAAACAGTAGCTGCCAAATTGCGCACAGCTAAAGGTTTGTGTGCGTATATTTAGATGCAGTAATGCACAAAGCACTGCACTGATCAATTCTAAATGAGAGAAGGGCATGCACTGGTCTCTTAGCATCAGATCTGAGAAGCTGGCTGGTGTGTGGTAGTGCTGCTAGAATGGTGCTAGGGGAAATTGTTCTTACTGTCAGTGTGTCTTCTGCTCAACAGCTTGGATTCAAAATGATCTCCAACTAGCAGTACTTCCCTGCAAGTTGAATAATGCTCTGTTTGGTCCAAGGTCTGGATTACTGCATGCTTCTTTTACCACTTAAGCTCACGTAGTCAGCTGGATAAGGGAGGCTACACAGAAAGCATACTAAAGCTATAGTGCTGTTTCCCACAAAGGAGTGGAAGAAATGTAATAAAAATGGCATAAAAAAGTATGTGCTACATCATTAAAATAAATAAATAAATAAATAAACTTTATGTAAAACTAATGTAATATCTGATTGCTGGGGCTAAATGATATTTGCACCATTCTGTTTGTGGTGCAGCTTTGTTATCCATACTTATTAAAATTAGATCTTAATCCTTTGAAACTGAGATGGGAATGGGGTTTTAAAGTGAAAGTTGATGTTCAAATACTTGCTTTAAACAGTGGAAATAATTTATAACAGTTATCATGAAGGATAATTGCAGTATTTCATTAAAATAAATTTTCCTATTCAGTGTTGTTTTCAAGACATAGTAGTTGTGTTTGTCATAGTAAGAATAGAGGAATTCTCTCTTGCAGGTACAAGCGAGTGACTTTCTTTTAGGGTGTTCGATCTTCATTGAATGTACAATTTCTTCACTTGAAACCCTTTTTTCTCCTGGGATTAGAAGAATCCAGATTTTAAAATATTAGAAGACACTGCTTTGTTTCTTTTCTTTTTGTAGGATTTTAGGAAGTGTGAGTTCCTAACTGAAATGGTTCAGAGTTCATAGGATAGTTAAGACGATTGCTCTTGTGATATACATGGCTAACTACATCAGAAGATAGGTAAATACTGAAAACCTTAAAACTTCCAGCTTTGAAGATTAGTATGGTGTTTAAATTCTGAGGAGATAATTCTAAACACAGCGATGCAAGTCAAGTTAGAGCTAAGTAGGTGGAACCTATGGAACCTAGGTCCACACCTATGGAAACAAGAGTTGCATCTCTTGTTTTACAAAGCAACTGATGCTTGGAAGATCTACTGAAGAAACTGATAAGATTATTAGTAATTATATCCTTTTATAAATAGAAAATGCAAGTGGCTAATAATTCCCCAGGAAAATTCATGGGATACTTCTGGAATTGGGGTAAATAACAACAAAATAGTGCTTTCTCTACGTAAAACCACACTTGCTTGTCTGCTTTTTGGGCTAGTAGAAGTCTAGTAAAAGTCCTCTTAAGACTCAGCTCTATAACCCCTTACTCCTGCACATAGCTCTTCCTTGTGTGAGTAATCCCTGTAATACTACTAGGACTATGCGCAGTCATAAGGGTTTATTGAATTGTGCCTTTGGAGACCGGTATTTTATGTTGGCAGCTTGATATTGGCTCATCTCCACTAATATTACTTGTCTGTGACCAACCTGCTTTCTAAATAAATTTTATGGTTTGTAACTTGATGCTAATTCCAGTGAACCGTAATATTAGAGAACATAAATAATGTGGCAGAAAAAGATGCGTAGTGCTACATACATGTTATCTGATGCTAACATACTGTTTAGGCCCACTGTTTAGCATTTTGGATCCAGGCATCGTTCTTGGACAAGAAACTCATCACCAAATATGTTGTAAAATATGCAATATTATGCTCTCCATGTGTGTGTTGTAAACATATGCTACAACTTCAGGTGTTAAAAGGAGAGCGTTTGGTCTCTTTCAGTAACTGTAAGCTTTTGTATGTGCATTATTTTGTGTAGAACCTTTAAGGAATGTATTTTTGTTTCTTTTCCATTTGCTTCACTTAAGAATTTTAAGCCCATGGTAACTTACATTCAATCGCTGTCACAAAGAGAGGAGTCTAAAACTCTTTGTCAGTGTTAGGAAGAAAGCAGTGATTAGGTTTCATAAGTGTACTTCATAATAACAATGCTGTGTTAAGAAAGGGAGACCAAACCTGTAATTCTGTATGATTGAAAATGGTTTCATATTGCTGAGGAATCAGGTTGCTAAAGCAAAATATATAAAAGAAATGTTGAAGTATTGCTTAAAGCTACGGTGCTCTCAATGGTAGGGTTTGGCTCTTGTGAAGCAGGAAAATGTATTTCAGAGCCAAAAATGACTTCTTTGGCTGTGACCAGGATTTCCTCTGCCCACCTCTGGGACCTGAAACTAGAGGTAGGAAAATCTGATTTTGGAGCCAAGTGTGACTGGTGTAGTTCAAGTCATAATTTACTACTTTTACCCTGGGGACCTGAAAATAAAGGAACTCGCTATGAAATGTTGATAATGGGCGGCTCTGAAGTGCAAGCATTAAGCTAACTTTCCCAGAGAGCATTTCTTCACTTCCACCTTTCCAGATGCTTTTGATCGTAGTACAGTAGAGTGTAAATAATCATATAACAGCAAAGAGAACTTAGCAAAATAGAGAGGAAAACAGAGTCAAACCCTTTCGCAGCAATAGATGTGCAAAAGAAAGAAACTAGATAAGGCTGGACGTCCTGTGCAATGACACGACTCAAGAACTGTAGCTGAGTTTACTGTTAATGAGAAGTATTTCCCACCACTGCCATATTATGATACTATGTGATCATGAACTACGATAGCACATTTTTTCTTCACTGTTTCCAGTGATCGTATTTTGTAGAATGTGAAGTAACACAGTTTCAATTACAATTTTCTTGGTTACGAGCAACCTCAAGCAGCTGAAAGGCTGAAGTTTCTTCTGGAGGGATCAAAAAAATTGACATCTTTGTATCATTTCAGATGTTTCTGAGAAACTTTGCGTCATCTTTCCTGTCTAATTTGATGTCATAGAAGCCTAAAATGTGTGAGATATCATTTGCAGATGATCTGGCATCAGTGTGATTTAAATGATTGTAGAAAGTGGTCTTATTTTGTGTGTGATCATCTATCTTAATGGTTTTCTAAACCTAATCTGTATTTACTTCCTCCTTCACGCTATTACTGAAGGGAAAAAAAAGAAATGAAGTAAGGAGCAGAGATAAATGAATGGAACTTTCATAGGAAAGCCATGCGTTGTAGTATTTTATTTATTGAATGTCCTCTTATTTATTGAATGTCTTTTAAGAGGAACATGTAGAGTAGGGTTAAAGTGCAGTGTATATTCATTCTTGTGTGTGCACACTTAAATTTCTTTCTTCCATGCCACACTTCATATTCAATTTTATTTTATGCTTTAATTGTAAAGTATCTTCGTAAAACAAGAAGTATGTAAGGAAGAAATGGAGCATTGGAATGTGCAATATTATTTGGTAAGCCTTTGAGTGTTAAATTTATACACTTACTGGGGTAACCTA